GCAGGATCCTCCTCCATCAGCCTGGACACCCGTTCCCAGCTGGACAGGGGTGGTGAAGCGGGCCAGGGAGCCTGTGAGTGGTCATTGGGCACTGCCTCCTCTACTGCCTCTGAGCCTTCTGGTGGGCCCCAGGTGACCATACTTGATTCTTCATTGTCATCTTCAAGATCCTGGGAGAGGGAGTAAGAGAAAAGAGATGTGAAGAGAGCGGAGTCCCCAGGGCATGTGGATTCAAGAAGGACATTAGAAGAACCTAGAGTGACTGACCAGATGGGACCTAGAGTATGGTTTGGAGACAATGAAGCTAGGACAATGGCAGGAGTGTGGGCCTACCCACTAAATAGTATGAGCTCAATCCTGTCTGCCACCTCTTAGCTGTGTGGTCTCTGTTAGTGACCTTCTCTTCAGCAGTCCCACCTCTGTAAAAGCGCCAGTAATAAAAGCACTTGCTACCAAGTGCTGAGCTTCTCTTCAGATGGAGAACAGAATAGGGAAGGACAGGAAGCCTGCTAAGGGGGGGCCACCATGAATTCACTGAGAAGTCAGTACTTGAGTCAAGGCCTATAGGAGTAAGAAGCAAGCTGTGTGGCTGCTGAGGGAAACCAGCCAGGCCAACCGACCAGCAGTACAAAGGTCTGGAGATATGGGCATGCCCAACAAGTTGGAGGGACTGGAGTGGAGTAGGTGAGGGGGCACAGCCAGAAGCCACACTGAAGAGGAAGTCTTTGGCAACCTCAAGCCCTAACTACAACCATCTGTGGTGTCCCTAAGAAGGTGGCTGGAACAGAGCAGAAAATGCTTGTAATATAACCTCAGTGGCTACCACATTACCAGGCATATGGCAGACACTCCAATGTGTGTATGTTGAATGAATACATGCAAAGGAGGGAGAGATGACAGTATCACCCTCAGTCTCTAGCAGAGCGATCAGAGGGGAGGCCAGTTATATGTACACACAAGAACAGGCTTCCAATAACCACTGTGTACCCTCCATTAGTGGTTCCCAAAGGCCACTGTAATTCAGAAACACCTTGGGAGCTTATTAGCTACAGATCACCAAAATACAGATTAGGTATGCTGGGTTGGTGAATGTCACAATCAGTCCTTTTGTTTGATTTTTGAGTGGTAGCTCAAGCTGGTCTTGAACTACTGATCCTCCTATGTCTATCTCCCAAGTGCTAGGATTATAGGCACATGCCAAGCATACATAATCGAGAATCTGTACGGTGTATGCATTTGTGCAGGAATATGCATATGTGTGCAAGTGTGTGTAGACCAGAAGACAACCTCTGTGTCCTCCTCATGGATCTACCATGTTTTTAGAGAAGGGTCCCTTACTGTCCCAGGACTCTGGAAGTAGACTAGGCAGACAGCCAACAAGCACCAGGGATCCATGTCCACTCCTTGCCTACAGCACCAGGATTGTAAGGTAAGTGTGCAGCACTATACCCAACTACTACTTCCTCCTCCTCCTCCTCCTCCTTCTTCCACAGGGTTTCTCTGTGTAGCTTTGGAGGCTGTCCTGGAACTCACTCTATAGACCAGGCTGGCCTCGAACTCACAGAGATCCGCCTGCCTCTGCCTCTCAAGTGTCGGGGTTAAGGGAGTGTGCCATCACTGCTGGGCTATATTCCCAATTTGTTTATGTGGGTTCTGGGGATCAAACTCAGCTCCTCATGTTTAGGAGACAAGCATTTACCAATGGAAGCCTGTAGAATCTACTTCATTTATTTATTTGCCTGTGTGTATGTTTATGCTCCAAGTGTATAGCACCTACACTTGGAGGGCACCGGGGTTCCAAACAACTATGAGCTGCCATGTGGGTGCTGGGACCGGAACTCTGGTCCTCCGAATTAGGAGCAGCTTAATGGCTGAGTCTTCTCTCCAGCCCATATACAAACTATTTTTAGTATCATTCTGGAGATTGTGAAACGTGATTCACAAACTATCAAAAAATAAACCCTACTGAACTTCAGGAAGCCTTTTCAAAAGACAGAGAAGGAAGTTGGGAAGTGAGATGGAAGCTGCAGGAGCCTGAAAGGCAAGCAAGGCTGAGGAGGGGAAGGAAGAAGTGGCCAGCAGGCGTTCCTACCTGGGTCAGTGGGATGACCCTCTCCATGCGGAGCATCCGGTCCCGGAGGGCCTGCAGCTCTCGGTCCTTGCTGCTGTTCTGCAGCTTCACTTCCTGCAGAATCCCTGTCAGCTTGTCAATGTGAGCCCGGAGGTCTTCTACCTCTGCTCCCCGGGCTCCTTCCTCACCGCCACCTCCACCACCTCCACCTCCTTCCTCTTCACCCACAGTCTCACAGACATCCCTGGCCACAGCTCTCCAGGCATCACCAGGGCCCTCAGGCTTGCCATAGGTGCGACACAGCTCCCTCATCTTGAGGGCAGCCAGGGCCTCAATTTCTGCCCGTCCATGACGGAAGTCGGCCAGGGCCACCTCGTAGCATATCTCCTTGACTGCTTGCATCTTCAGGTCAGCCATGGTGGCCCATCGGGGGTCTTTGCCCTGCAGCCTCCGCCGCTGAGGGATCTGATAAACTCTACGAGGGGCCCTGCGCTTGCCACTACTGGGCAGGCCACAGCGCTTCACAATGGTCTGGACTGTGGTAGGAGGCAGTTGCTCCCGCAAGGAGGAAATCAGCCTCCAGCTCTCTTCACAAGAGCGCTTGTCAGAGTCTTCCCCACTGTCAGAGTCTGCATACTGGGGTGGGCCAGAGAGGAGAGAGGAAGAGGACTAAGGACACCTCAGAGACCATCCTTGTACCAAAGACATGGGAGGCACCCCATTAGTGTATCTGGACTAAAGACCCTTTCTACCTCTTAGTGTACCTTGCAGGGACCAGTCTGGACCGCAAAGCTACGTCTGATGGATTAACCACTTACAATAGCAGTTGGCAAGTGGGGGTAATAGCAGCAGTTAATAGAGTCCTGGGTTTTGTGCATATATGGTCATGTGCCACTTAAATACAGAGAGTGTTCTGATAAACGTGTCCTAAAGTGATCTTATCATTGTGTGAGCATCACAGACTGAACCAACACAAATCAAGGCAGCTACACATTATTTGCTGATATGATCTCATGGGACCACCCTGTGCATATGATATGTCATCGACAGTATTGTCATTATGCAGCAAATAACTAAGTATTACTCCTAGGTTAAAGACTTTAAACTCCATTGAAGGAACAAGTTTACATAAATAATGGCACTTGGAAGTGATCTAAAGGGGCCCAGGGTCACTGGAGTCTAAGGAGCTTTGTCAACTGGAATGTTAGTCCCCTGTACATCGCTATGTTTTTTTCTAGTTCACATTTCTCTCCTAACTTTTCCTCCTAGATGCCACCTAAATGATACCAACCGTAAAGCTAGGAGGCTGAGATGATGCCAGTCTCACTGTTCATCTACCCACTACCCCTCTCTCCCAGGCTCCGCCCACCCTGCTGTGCCCCAACTTGCCCCTCACCAGCCGCTGCTGCTCCAGCAGAAGGTCAGCCTCTTCCTTTTCTTTCCGGTATTGATTCTCCAGGTCCTGTAGCCTGGGGTCAGACAGAGGGAAGAAGAAGGTGTGAGGGTCTCTGGAGCTGCCTTGGAGGGTATCGGCTACAGCAGGATGCTGGGGTCGCATGTCTTAGAGAGACCTGTGGGGACCCCTGTACCTCTTCTCCATTTCCAGCTTGATATCTATGCCTTGCTGTTCCAGCAGCTCTTTCTGAGCAAAATTCCAGTCCACAGGCTCAGAGGGAGGTCCTGGGGGTGGGGGCACCCCTCGTTCTCGTTCAAGCCGTGCTTGCTCCGGGTGATTGAAGCGGAAAACATGGTTCTTGCCCATTACAATCCTGTTTCCTGGAGATGGGAAGAGGGGTGAGTAGACTTGCTCACCCACAGCAGCAAACCATCCCCAGGTCCTTGATTCCAGGGGACCTGACACCCTATCTCCTACTACCCCCAAAGGTGGGAGCAATCAGAGTCAACACACCTTTGCTGACCCCTGGAAATACCTGCTTACTAAGGTAAGCTGCTGGGGAGAAGGCTTCCCATGTCCCCAGGGAAGCAAGAGAACCAATACATCCCCCTTGGTTTGTCCTGCAGCTCCTTCCTATGTCCATGCTCTTCCCAACTATCCCAAGTTCGTAGGTCCCCAGAAAGCCCTGCCCTAGCACTCTCTAGGAAGGTCATGTCCCCAACCTGTACTCTACAACACATCTTTGTGTACGTATGGTACTGGGAATTAAACCCAGGGCCTTGCTCATGCTAGGCAAGCGCTCTACCTCTGAGCTATGTCCCCAGCCTCTGCAACACGTCTTCTACCTGACTTCAGCACCAGCGGCTCCGCCACGAGCTTCCCATTGACATATGTCTCAGCTCCTTCACAAGGCTCCAATGTGACCATCACTGAGTGGAGGGGAAAGGAGGGGGAAAGATTAGACTCTCAGAAAGCTGGACTATGGTCAGATTCCCACCGTGTCTCACCCCCAAAGCACGCATGCACCACCAGTTCCACCCCCAGTACCTGCAGGGGTGCCACAGCCCCTCTGGTGGCAGGCAGCACAGGAAAAGAAGAGCAGAAGGAGGGTTAGAGACCCTACTATGACTCCCAGAAGCCTCCGCAGTGGTTCCTACTGACCCACCGCCATGCCCCCTAACCACAGCTTAGAAACTGTCATTCTCAGAAGACTTCTTTAACAGCAATCGACAGGACAGAGGCCCCATCACTGCCTCCCATGTGTCCATTCCTACTCCCCTCGTTAACATTACCCCTAGGGAGGTTGGATGCCTCCAGGAGGCCCTCTACCTGATGCATCTTACAAATGGCTGCCATCTGATTAACCTTCTCAAGTCACAACCAATATAGGATAAAACTAAGTCAATCCAACTCTAGCCAGACATAGTGCCACACATCTGAATCTCCATTACTTAGGAGGCTGATGCTGAAGGACTGCTCAAAGTTTGAGAGCTAGCCTGAACTACATAATGAGTCTGAACTCAGCCTGGGCTACATAGTAAGACCCTGCCTCAAAAATACAAAAACAAGCCACGCAAGGGTGGTGCACACCTTTAATCCCAGTATTCAGGAGGCAGAGACAGGTGGATCTCTGAGTTTGAGGCCAGCCTGGTCTACAGAGAGAGTTCTAGGAGCCAGGGCTATACAGAGAAACTGTCTCAACAAACAAAAAAGTGGTATTCTATTTTCACTGGAAGACCCACAAGTTCCAAAGACCTGGTGTCTAATGACTGCTGAGCCAGAGACATTCAGCAAATTATCTAACATTGAGGATCTTCTATAGATTGGGATAATGAAGACTTTATTCACAGAGTAGTTGAAAATATAATAATCATAATATGCAAACAAGACTTTTTATTCATTTATTTGGCTTTTTGAGGCAGGGTTTCTCTGTGTAATAGCCCTGGCTGTCCCAGACTTGCTTTGTAGACCAGGCTGGCCTGGAACTCAGAGATCCACCTGCCTCTAGCATGTGGGGACATGCTAGGATTAAAGCTGTGTGTCACCATGCTTAGACTTTTTGTTTTGTTTTGTTTTGTTTTTTTGGGGGGGGGATTTTTTTCTAGACAGGGTTTCTCTGTGGCTTTGGAGGCTGTCCTGGAACTAGCTCTTGTAAACCAGGCTGGTCTGGAACTCACAGAGATCCGCCTGCCTCTGCCTCAAGAGTGCTGAGATTAAAGGCGTGCGCCAGCCCATAGACTTTTTACTATTTATTGACTACACACACACACAGAGAGAGAGAGAGAGAGAGAGAGAGAGAGAGAGAGAGAGAGAGATTGAATTTAGGGCTCTACAACTAACCTATATCCTCAGCCCAACTTTTTTACTTTTTTAGACAGGGTCTCACAATGTAGTTCTGGCTGTCCTGGAACTCACTATGTAGACCAGGCTGACCTCAAACTCACAGAGATCCACCTGCCTCTGCCTCCCAAGTTCTGG